TAATAGCAATTCATATGCAAACTCTGAAAATGGCCCAGGCCTCTCCAGAAGCAAGGAGTAAAGGACAGCCTGCTAACACGTGACAGTGTGGGTGTCCTCACTGAGCTTTTCTCTGTAGAGTTCAGCCCCTTATGATATCACTTTGGTATCAATTGTGTCCCCACACAATGGGCATCTGGAAACCTCCGACTGAATTCCTGAGGATTAAGTGACTTGCCTGAGGCTAGATGGTCCCATGGACTTGAAACAGAACCCGTAGCTCCCAATGCTATAAGGCTCTTGTTAAACACACTACATGGACCCCAGGGATTCAGCTCCTCCTGCCTGAGAACCTGGCCAGGGACTGGACATGCTGTGTTCTCATTCAGCACTCTCTGACGGCAAAGCAGCTTCTAGACCCTGAAATGGGGGGAAGGAGACTGAGTAACATAAATTTGGACAAAAGATGTCTAAAAGCTGCATTTTCCAAACCTCTAATCGTAGCTCACTCTAGCTTGAATCTGCCTCTCCTCTTTGCCTCTCTTCTAAAAAGAAGAAAGAAAAACATAAAATAATAGTGCAAATGTGTATGTGCGCGTGTGATTTTTGTACACGGGTCAGACTTTATCCGTTTAGTAGTGATATAGCTCCAAAGCTGCTTCTTGAAATGTGCTAAAATTATGTTCATACGCACCACACTTATTTCACACCTAGACATTAAAAAATGGATTTTATGAGAAGAAATGCAACAAGTGAGAAATGAACACAAAACAGCAGCATAATGAATGCGTATGTCTCATAACTAAAAATACACATTATACGTTACCCAAAAGGAACTCTAATTAAAAAAAACAATAATTTTTTATATGCACGAAATGAGAAAAAATGTCCTGTAGTTAACACTTGCATTAAGATTGAGTTAATTTTAATGGATTAGTTAAGGATGAAGTGACAACAAAGTGGAAGTTAAATTACAGGAATTATCATCACTATCACTAGAGTCTGAATCTAGTTTTATGTCCCTAATACCACATAGTTAATGAAGTAAAAAGTAAGTACATGTGACTTCTCCAAATTAACAGATCAAAACAATGGCTCATTTTAATAAGTTGTTTAAAACTCTTATTTTAAAACACTGTGTTTAAATTTAAAATCCCTAATTGTTTTATTTTTCAGTATTTTATGTTTCCTATACTTGCAATAATTTTTCCCATTTGTTGATCTCTTCATCTATCTACTCAACACATTTATTGTTCACTAGAACCACTGGTAAGCACCAAAATGGTAACACACACAGTAATTTTCAGCAGACAGTGTCCTTGGACATACGCAATCTCACTTAAAGAAATACACAAACTAAATCTCAATAATTATTTAGCCATGCATAATTTTTAGAGATTATCTCAAATTTTAAACAGGGGCTAAGGGAAACAAGAGGGAAGTTACACAAAGCAAAATGTCTTTGATGAGTATCAGGTCAGCTAATTAAAAAAAAAAAGAGTGTATGAAAAGGAACATTAAAAGATTTAGGAAAAAATGGAAATGTAGAACTCCACTATCCATGAAGCAAGTTATGGCAAAACCAATGCTAACTATTAAAACATTCAAATCCTTTCCTAGATTGTTTCCACAAAACACCAAAATGAATGATGAGATACGCGTTTACATGCATAACTAATCTATGCATGTGTTTATTTGAGGTCAGAGACATTTTTTGGAGGCATCATCGACACATACAGTAGATAAGGACTGGAATCTACAATTGTTTAAAGCAAAAAGCAACAACAGCATCATTCTTGAGTAGTATCTGTTACTGTTCTCTGCAATGACCCTAAAAAACTCATGAACAAATGCATACACATCTCTCCCCATTTTCAGATGCACGTGTTTTTCAAAGTCTTTGTTTTGAACTTTGGTGAATTTGTATCTATTTCACTAAATACACATTTTCAAAATATCAAAACCTGAGGGGAAATTTTCAAGAAAGAATCTTCCAAGATCATTTATCCCTCATTGATTCTACCTCACCATCCCTAATCCTCTACTAAATTAACATTTTGGCCAAAATAATCATCTTATGCCACATCTCAAATCATGTCAATTACCTGCTTTAAAACCTTTATCATTTATAGGCTCCTTATTTCCTGAAATTATCATGTGAAGTCCTTGGCCTCTGGCAGAACAGTCTAGGTGCACAGGGCTTTGTCTTGCTTTTCCAACTTCGTCTCTCCAATCTCCCCTTCTAAATCTCTGATCCTGTTCATCCATCCATTCAGAACTCTGTCATTTTCTTTCCTAACCCAGAATATCTTCCTTCAAGTAAACCAGTCAGAATTCTATTCATATCCCTCACATAATTTAGATATAATTTATTTCATGAAAGTTTCCACATCAAATACCTCCCTTCCCCCAGCCAGATTCTCTCGTCCCTCCTCCTCCCTCCCTCTCTCTTCTGTGTGCCTGTCACTTGTTCCTCTAATGGGCCTTGCCACATTCTACCTGTGAACAACGGTTTGTCGTATCTGCTCTAAGAGTTACAACACGCTTAAAGTGAGACCATTTCTTACTTAGTTTCATAACTTACCACACTTAGTTTTGTGTGACCAGTAAGGTGATTAATAAAGCTCATTAATAGATTTTACTGTTTTCAAACAACATAACTGAGTGGCAGCTCTAATCCTATGCTCATATATTTTCTGTTCTTTCCCTCTAAAATGTGAGTCCCTAAATGATATTTAACCATTGCTCTATCTGAGGTTTCTTTAGGAACAGGTGAAATACCATAATTATCATGCACAAATATTTTAAGAAAAATCAGATTTTTCTAGAACATGATGTGACCAATCTGCTTGTGGGAGGAAGATATTTTCAATGGCTGACATTCACATCTACCCAATAGCCTTCAGTCTCCAATTCTACTCATCCTCAAGATTTGTTTATAATAAGTGTGTGTTTACAGAGCCAGAAAAATTACTGTCCTAAGAATGCAAAAAAAATGCATACAAGTATATTTTGGCATGCTATACATACCTATTGGCTATGGAATATACACTTAAAGATTGTTCAGTACAATGGCCTGTATCTTCCATTTGTCTGTTACTGGGTTTGCAGAAAATTGAGACACTTCAAGTCACAGACTACGAATTAGGCAAACATTGATGAAGTTTTTAAAGCTATCAACTAACAGCATGATGCCAGAACAACTGGAAAACTAAGTTTAAAAAATAACTCAAACAAACATGTGATGGTGTGCAACAGCACACTCTCCTCGCTCCCCGAATTATTTTACTATCGTGTACAGCTCCTGAAGGGCAAAATCAAGACATTTTCTCTTCCTCCTGCCATCCTCCGATACAATGGTTTTTGACATAATAATCCACTAAATAATCAATTAACTTCTGTACTAAATTGTCTTCTCTAGAGAATGTGAAGTCCCCAGTTGAGAAAATCACAGATCACAGAGTGTGGATCTTACATGTACTAACTTGTTTCCTTAAAAGCACAAAACAAACACATTGAGTAAAATCATTTTTATAGTATTACATAAAAAGTAAAATACACATGTTAATTTTTATTGTAAGGTAATTTATGACTCACATTGCTTCTCTGTTTCTTGCTAATTACTGATATAATATTTGACTTACAAATGTCCTAAGTGATACACTTTGAAAAAAGATACATTTTAAAATACATATTGTAAATTTAAAAGCTTTAGATTAAGAGTGAAAAATTAATGACAACACCTTGGCGTGGTTAAGTTTCTTCCTACAAGATCCTTAGTGGTAGGTATTTTAAAAGTACCTCACTAACATCTATTTTTTAAAATAGTTTTACTTTGGGTATGTTCATATGTCTATGACTTACTGAAATATTTCTCAAAATGTTGTCCACAAAATACCCGCTTCAAAATATTTGAAGTAGTTTTAAATGCAGAGACCCCAAGACTCCAGCCTACCTTGATCAGAATCCATGGGAGTGAGGAACTAGCAAGCATGCATTTAAAGCAAGTTTGCCCACGTGATTCCGACGCACACCAGAGTTAAGAAGCCTACGGAGTGGATCTAAAACCACGTCTCACTGTAGTCTCAACGTTGTATGTCCGAAAGAAAAGTTGCAAACGATTCCTTCCAAAATATATATAGTTTATAAATGCTCCTTCTAGAGCGTCCCTCAGCAGAAAACTAAACTAGTTTTCAAATCCCACGGCGTTTCAGCTCAATTAACAAATGAAAGAGCCATCCTTCTCCCGATTCCCCGGCGTCCTAAAGCGCTCCTGGCAAAAGCCCGCTTCGCACCTCGGGGCACTGACCTCCGCTTCCCACAGTCAGAATACTGAATCAGTCTGCATCCACAGAAGACCGAAGGGACCCTGGCTCACCGGCCTCCCACCCTCCCGGCAGAGCAGCTCCTCCGAGCCCAGGCGCGGCCTCCCGCTCTCCGAAGCAGCGGCAGCCGGTCAGCACCTCGGACAGAGACTGGCGGGGCCGGGCCCGGGTCAGCCCGTCCAGGAGGCGGCCTGGCAGGAACCGCAGAGACCACCCCTGGAACGCACAGACCACCGTCTTCGTTCCCCTTTCCTGCAGCCAGCACCTCTTTCCAAACGACAACAAAGGAAACCTTAACTATCTTACCTAGAACACGGGAGCCACCCCCACATCTCGCCTCTCCCGGTTCCACAGCGCCTGTTGCTAGGGAGGCGAGGCAGCGCTCGGGAAGCCCCGGGACCAGGCAGCAGAGCGCTGGCGGAGCTGCAGCTGCAGACGGGAGCGCCAGGCCGGCCGGACCCCTCCGCAGGAAGGCTGCGCCCTCGCGGCTCCGAAGCCAGCCAGGCCCCCGAGCGCCCCGGGCGGGTGCAGGGAGCCGGGCAAGCGAGGGGCCGGCGCCCGGGAGCGCGGCTCCGTCTGCGGGCCGGGGAAACTCGGCCCCGGCCGAAGAGGCCTCCGGCCCAGCCCTGTGGACGCCTGTGATCCCAGACAGCGGGCCGGGGGCGCGGGGACCGCCCTGGGAGGGCGGGCACTCACCATGTTGACTTCGGAAACCATGTCGATGCTGGCGATGTCAATGTTCATCCCCACGCAGACCGGGGGACCTGCGGGAAGCGCAGGACACGGCGATCAGCCCAGCTCCGACGCGGGGCGCGGGCGGCTCTGAGGACTGGGGGCTACCCCCGGAGGGGCGCGGGCGAAGGGCCCCCACCCCCACCCCCACCCGCCGCGGCTCCGCGGCTGCGGCCCCCGCCTCCCTCCGCCCAGGCCGCCGCCGCCGTGGGTCGCGCTTCCCGCAGCGGCCGCGCGCAGCCCACTTACCCCCGAAGTCGGGTCTCAGGCGAATGTCGTAGCCTTTCAACAGCTTGTCCACCGTCTCCTTCACAAAGGACATGTTCCCGGGATCGTTCACACTGGGGGACGGGCGGGGGGCACACAGAGCGGGTCAGGGGCGGCTCAGCCGCCCGCGCCCCGCGCACCCCGCGCCCTGCCCGCCCGCCGGCCCACCCGCCGACCCTACCTCTGGGCGCAGCACACCACAGCCACCAGCACCGGGGCCGAGAAGATGCCGAAAAGCCTCCCTCCCGCAAGGCCCCACATCCCTCCGCCGCGCCCCGGCACGGGGGAGGGGGCGCCCCGCCGCCGTCGCGACCCGCAGCCGGGGCTGCTCCTGCTGCTGCCGCCGCCGCCGCCGCGCTGGCCCGGAGCGGAGGAGGGCGGAGGGGGAGGGGAGGAGGGGGAGGAGCGGGCGCTGGGAGGGGAGGGAGGAGCGGGGAGGAGAGCGGAGCGCGCGCGGGCGCGGGGCGGGGGAGGAGACCGGAGAGTCGGAGGCGGAGCCGGCGCGCCGCGCACCCTGCCCTCCCCCTCGCGCGCCGCGGCCCGAGGCCGGGGCCCTGGGCGCTCCCTCCCGCCTCGGCGCCCGCCGCACGGGACTCGGAGCTCCGGGACCGCGGAGTGCGGGGGCGGCCCGGGCCGGACGCTGCGAGCGGAGCCGCGGCTGCGCGGACTCGGGCGGGGCTGGGGGTCGGCCACGGAGCCGGCTCCTCTGGGCTCTCGGCGGCCGGGCGAGTGCGGGGACTGTCCGCAGCCTCGACGCGGGCATCAGCGGCGGCGGAAACGCTGCCCGCCTACCCCGGCCCCCGAAGTGGGCCCCGCACGACGACCACCGCCCGCTGCGGCGCAGCCCCAGAGCCCTCGGGCCGCGCCTCTGCCCGCCGGACTGCGTGCCGCCGCCTCCCGACGGTGCCTGCAGACGCCGGGAAGCCCCCGCCTCACCTGCGGGGCTCAGAGCCTCGGGTCCCCAGGGTCCAGGAGAGCCAGATGGGCAGCAGGAGCGCCAGGAGCCCGGAGCACATGGCGCTGTTCCTTCGGCCTAACCTGCTGGGATCCGCTCTCCCCCACCGTCTCCGAGCATCCAAGCGGCGACGCGGGGATCCCCGCCCCTACCCCCACCCTCAGGCTTTCCCGCCTGACCCGTCTTCCAGCCCCTGGCGTGGGGGCCCGATTCGTCATTTATAAAATTGGACCTTTTTTTTAAAGCTGCTCCTTAAACTGCACCTCTTACCCTCATTCCTCAACATTTCTTAGGCGCACTGAGCGCTTTCTGTTCACATGTACACATATGTAATGGATGGTTAAGACAGGCCTGAATATGTGTTTTGTTATCAGCAAACTAGAATCCCAGCCAGACTAGGGAGACTGGATTGTCATTCCAGGGATGGTAAAATATCTGCCTCTTTTGGTGCCGCCCAGAGCTATCCGTGATCCTTAATATAAGGCAAGGATCCTTGCTTCCCTGTGACAGGCCTCCTTCGGCTGCCATTAGAAGGCCACTGGCGCAAGGACCCTGGTGTACCAGCGCACAGTGGGTGCACCCCGCCCTCTGGACCACCGCACACCTAAGGGGCCACTCACCCACAGCCACATGTTTTATATTTTAGTGAATGATCCCCAATAAAGTTTCTCTGTACCTCGGATTTCTAGTATTGAAAAAGATGGTTACACAATCCTACTTGTAGCCAACTAACAAAACCTACACATCAAACTCGTTTTTGTGTTCTGTAGACCTCTTCAAATTATTCCAGGACTTAATGGTTAATAATAGGTAACTACTTTATTGACTCTTTTTTTTTCTATGAAACAAGCTTCTCTTTAACATCGTTGAGACTTTATATTAGTAAATATCTAAATCTAGATCCTAAATCTCACGTTGGCATGTTTCTGTGCATTAATTTTAAATATCACTGCCTTTTCTAAAAATCAGCTATTTTATTTTTGGAACAGAAAATGTGACCGCAGTACCTGAAAGATTCAGAGATAAATATAGCTCCCTAATTATTTTCTGGAAAAGTCTATTCACCACTGCTTTGCATTCAATGTCCTGTTAATGCACAATGAAATTATACGGAAAATTGTATCTGTTGTATCAGACACACATTCATAGTTCAGTTTATTTCTCCTATTTCCGTGCAGTTCTTTTAGAGAAATGCCCTGCTGGGGATCGTGGCTATAAAAAGTAAACAATGAAAAGAAGTTGTTTGAATAAAACCAACAACATAGCAAGAATTAGCCCCCTTACTACCAGTTTATATGTTCTAAGACTTGCAGAACCACATTACAACATGATTATCCAACCGTGCATCATATCAGACCTTCTTGGCTTCACCCTGTCTCTGGAGCTTTTGGCTTTAACACCCCAGCTGCTGCCTCAGCACCCACTTCTGCAAGAAGTCTGATCAGCTTTACATGGGAACAAGCCCATATGGGATATGCTCATATCCTCATATCACAAGGTCTAAGATGCCATGGGATTTGCTCAGTACTCACATATATGCAATCTGAAATTCCCTGCAAGTTAAAAATCCATGGGGCAGACCTTTGGCTAACGAACACATATCCATGGATCAAAGAGTCTCCCTTTATTGCCTCCTAAGAAATGTCCTGAGATGCAGTTGCTGTTGGCCTCTCAAAGATGATCTTGTGAGATGGATCCATCTTTTGTACTTCGTACTCAGCACTGGGTAGTCTGCCTGGTAATGAACCCTCCCTCCTATCTGCTCCCTCTCTTTCTATGCCTAAATTCCCTTTTCCTTTGCTCCTGTTTTCATTGGAATCAAACACCCTAGTGACATATCAACAACTAAATTTTGCCTCAGGATATATTTTCTGGGGAACTTAGGCTGAGTTGTGAATTAATCCTCAAGTCATTAGAACTGTCACCTAAAATGCAGTCTCTTTCAACAGGCAAAATCAAAGAGAAAGACTGCAGAGGTGTGATCAGGATGCATGGGCTGTAAGGTTCTTACACACCCACACACTACTGCACATCACAGACACTGCTCAGCTTGCACCTACACCCACAACAAAGGGTGGACATGCAGCCCGCCACCCCTCCTCCTTTCTCAGCTCCCTCCAACATAGGCAGCCATCTGGGAGGGGTGGATAAGCACTGAACACCAGCACCCACATCCTTGTGCTCTCTTGCTTAGATAGTAATTACGTATTAGCCAAATCAGCAGAAAATTAATAATTCACTTCTTGCATTCATTTTAGACTGGAAGAAAAAAAGGCTCCAGGAGTCCCACAGAGGGTAATTTTTCATGGTAGTAGGAAAAGGAGGTGAATGCTGTTTTGTTCATAGGAAGGTGGTTTTAAATGGTCCAGAAGAATATTTGGAGACATTCAAGGTAGAAAGAAGGAAAGGAAGCAGAGAGCTGGGAGGCATCAAGTGATCACATTACGTCATCCATGTCTGCGCATTTTGATTGACCCAAATGCCTTTTCCAAACTGTTTTGTTCAGTCACTTTTCTTTCTTATAGAAAACTTGTTTTTTTAAACAGTATCTAAGTTTTTTGGCACATTTTAACGCTCTTCAAAAAAAAAAAAAAAAACTCATAACACATGAACTAAAATGTTGCATGTGTATAGTTAGCTAAGTCTCAACAAATGTATAAACCAGTGTACATTTTCATCATTCCCAAAGTTGTCTTGTGACCCTTTGACCCATCTGCCACTGAAGGTTCCAGACAAGCTCTGAACAACATACATTCTGTCATCATACTTGTTACTTTTTTTCTTGCCTGTTTTAAGCATTCTATGTAAGTAGAATGATGCACTATACGTTGTTTCATGTCTGGCGTCTTTCACTGGGTGTAATGTTAATGAGATCTATTCATGTTGTTGCAGATCCATAGTTTGTTCCTTTGTATTGCCAAGTAGTATTCCATTCACCTGTTGATGAGCCTTTCTAATTTGAGTGATTATGAATAACAATTCATATAGAGGCCTTTATATGGACATGAGGTTTCATTTCTACTGGACTGATACCTAGGAGTAAAATGGCTAAATCATGCGGTGAGTGTATGTTTAGTTTTATAAGGAACTGCCAAAATGGTCCCAAAGTGCTTGGAGGATTTTGCATCTCACCCGCAACACAAGAGAAATGCAGCTGCTCCACATCCTCTCAGTTCATCTCGGTGGCTGTATAGTGGCAACCCATTGTGGTTTTAATTTGCATTTGCCTGGTGATATATAAGCAAGCCTATTTCATTTACATATTGGCCACTCACATTTTCTTTTTGAAGATACAAGATTTTTGCCCATTTTAATTGCATTCTCTGTCTTTTTCATTGAGATGTGAAAGGTTTTTTTTTTTTCTTGAGATGGAGTCTCCCACTGTCATCCTGGATGGGGAGCAGTGACTCAATCTCATCTCCCTGCAACTTCCACCTCCCAGGTTCAAGTGATTCTCTTGCCTCAGCCTCCCAAGTAGCTAGGATTACCATGCCTGGCTAATTTTTTGTATTTTTAGTAGAGACAGAGTTTCACCATGTTAGCCAGGCTGGTCTTGAAGTCCTGACCTTGTGATCTGCCCGCCTTGGCCTCCAAAGTGCTGGGATTACAGGCGTGAGCCACCACGCCCAGCTAGAGTTCTTTATGTATTCTGGATATAAATCCTTTGTCACATGTATGTAATTGTTTTCTCCCAGTCTGTAGCCTTGCTGTTTCATTTCTTTAATAGTATCTTTCAAATAAAAGAAGAATTTAATTTAGATGAAATGCAACTTATTCATTTTTTTCTTCTAAGGTTCAGACTTTTGATATTCTATTTTAGAAATCATTGCCTAATTAAAAGTTAAGATTTTCTGCATGTTATCATTTAAAAATTAGCAATATTTAGACCTGTTACTTGTTAACTTCTGTGGATGATGTAAGGATCAAGGTTCTTCCAAATGAAGTGTACTAGTCAGTTCTCACACTGCTATAAAGAAATACCTGAAACTGGGTAATTTGTAAATAAAAAATGGTTAATTGGTTCACAGTTCTGCAGGCTGTGTGGAAAGCATCTGGGGAGGCCTCAGGAAACTTATAATCACAGCAGAAGTCAAAGGGGAAGCAGGCATGTCACATGGCCAGAGCAGGAGGGAGAGAGGAGGGAAGGTGCTACACACTTTTAAACAATCATATCTCACAATAACTCGCTATTGTCACGACACCACCAAGGGGGATAGTGTTAAACCAGGAGAAACTGCCCCCATGATCCAATCACCTCCCACCAGGCCCCCCCTCCAACACTGGGGATTATAATTTAACATGAGATTTAGGCAGGGACATAGACTCAAACCATATCATGAGCCATGATTTGTTGGAAATATTCTTTCCTTCAATTTGGTTACCTTTTATGTTTGTTGAGAATCAAT